ACTGCTGTTGGATGGTGAAAATATATAAATCGATTATATTTTTATGTATAGATAAAGTGGAAGTTAATCTGTTAAGAGTAAAGTGAGCTGTTTTATGGGCATTCAACATGTGATGGGAGAATGAAGGAGTTTGTATAAAAATAAGATGTTTTTTGGAAGAAAAGCTGGTGAATTGATTGCATTGTAGTTCTAACATCCAATCACGGGCATCTTGGGACATATCGTATTTTGGGGGTCTGTGATTTTATTTTAAATCGGTAGAATCTAATAGAAAAGTAAGCAACAGGTTACCGAGGCTGAATTCATCGACAACCAACAGGAGTCAAAAGCTTAATCAGTTCCTAACAACAACTATTAGTTTGCAATGAAGGACTTCCTGTGAATCATTATAAATTAAGTCATTTTTATCCTCAAAGCTCCAAGTCGAAGTTTTAATACTGAACAGCGAACGAAACATCCCCAAAACTCTTGAAATCTCCTGATTAAACCTTGGTTTACCTCTGACTGCATCCCTGACTACATCCCAACATCAAACTAAAGAGAAATCAAGGATTCAATTCACTAGAACCAATCCATTTTAAATTAAAAATAAATAAATTATTTAACTCGCCTTTGTGTTCTCATTTTTATTATCCGCCCTTTTCCTTTAGTTATTCAATCCATTCCGTTTCCTTTCTTGGCAACAAACTCAACGTAGTAATATTTCCGAAACATGATGTTTCCATATTGCGACCTAATGAAAAGTTAATTCAACGAATTTCCTGGTACTCTATCATCCATTCCTTCATTCGATGAAAATGGAAGTTTTAAGGAATTTTGGAATGGATTGATGGTGCTTGTGCTATTGTGAAAATGGATGGAAAAAAAATAAATTAAATGTTTTATGTATTTACTTGCTCTATTTTTGTTCCATTCCATTCCGCATTCAATCTTAATTATTTGCAGAACCTTTTAATGCCTGTCTTTCATTATTCTATTTCTGTTATTCCTGCGTCTTATTTATTGGAGAACTTGATTATGAAAATGGTACAATCTGCTGCGGGGGCGTCTGTAAATGATGTCATTTAAATATCTAGAATTTTTGACGCTCGTAAGATCTGCAAAGTGAATGAAGAAGCACAGAGCTCTAAAATCAAACTTTAATAAATCTTTGACATCATTTATGAACAGCCCCAGATGTAAATGACTTAATACAAATCTACAGCAACAAAATATATATCTTTTGATGAATTTATGAAGCTTTTAGTCAGACTAATACAAACAAATTTGATGATGATAATTAAATGCTTCCTCTCATCACAAATGTCATCTTTTGCCTTATCTCATTTAATCATAGGACCAGATCTGGACTAATTGAAATCATGTTTTGCTGTACAAAAATAAAAAGAATATCTGCTGATTATATATATTAAGGAAATGTCATCTGCAGGCATCAACAAATCATAAATAATAAGAGGCACTAGACATAAAAAAGGACAAGAACTTATTTTCATTGCCAACAAAAAAAAAATTGTTTGAATAAAATGTTAAAATCATGTCCTTAATGAGATATGTTGATTCCTTATTTTGGGAATAAAGACTGACTCTAGAGTCGAAAAAAATTAAAATCAAATGCCATCAAAGCATTAAATTCAGTTCTAATAAATATTTCAATTTGAAAACTTCAAAGCATCACAAAGTTTAACCTGTAAATCACACTAGTTTGCACAAATTACACATATACTTAGTTCTCCTAGAATTTTACACTTCAATTAAAACTTTTCAAAAATATTTACCTAAAAACTTGTCAGCAAAGCCAAAATTTTAGTTTATAATGTTTATTACATGCTCATAAACCAGCAACAACGAACTAAATTTTCAAATAAAAATAAATGGAAGCCGCATAGAGAAAATTTATTTTTCGGAGATAATTAGAATAAATGAATGGAATATAATTTTGATTCAAATTAATTTCATAATAAATCCCTCACATGTCATTGACAATGAATAGACTTTTCGAGAGTAATTTTGTATAATTTATGTGCATGCAATTCATTATTGGTCAATTGCTTGTTTTAATGTATTCATGATCATTTCATTAAATTAATGAAAATAATTGCTATCAATTTTATAATTAATAAGTGCAGATGGACATGGAAACTAATGAACTTTTACGTTTGCGTTGTTAATAAAATATTGATTTGTTATTACACTTTGCTTAATTGATAGATCTGTTCTGGATTGTCGTTATTGATGGTTTTTATAATCGATTTTAGGTGAGGTTTTGAAGTCTTTAGCAGATGTGAATTTATTTAACAAACTTGAGCTTATTATTTTGAAACTTGAACTGAATTAGTGTGTAAAAAACAAAGGGCCTGCAAATAGCATGTTCAACACGAGCTTAATTGGTTTTTGAAGTTCGAATGAGTTTAATTATCAGTCAATATAAACAATTTTTGATCAACTCTTGCAAATTGCGTATTCAGCTAAGAACTAAACGATACTCAAAACCAAAATTGAATTAAAAAGATGGAAATAAAAGCAAAAGACTGTCTAATTATAATCTTCACAGCTAATTGTATGTACCAAGAATTTTTCGGTAGAGAAATTTTTATCGACAGTATTAATGATGAGATTCTTAAGGGGTGTAGGACAATTTCCTACTGAAATTTCGTCTCTATACATTTGATCACTACTTTATTCTGTCGCCTATGCATTTAGCCATTCATTATTTTTCCACTTCTTTATTTGTCCACTTCTTCATTTGGCCACTATTAATTTAAGAACTTGAAAAAAATTTCTTTATTTTTGTTGAATGACTTTCAATCTTTAGTTCTTGTACAAAATCAATTCCAAGAATCTTTAAACTCATCCTAACCTTCTCCATCAAAATCCTCCTTCCCATCCGAACAAAAAACCTCAACAAAAGCCAATAAATCTTCAACTTCCTTAATCATTCGATCCATAACATCAATAAACAATCTTAAAGATGAGTTACTTTCAAGGACTTTGCCTTCCACTTCCTCATAATATATTAATCCTAGAATTCCTTTAATACTTGTATCAAAATAAATTGACGTAAAATTCTACTCGCCAAATATTTCCTTCTTATATAATTGATTGTGTTTGCTAACTTCTTCAAATATTCATAACCTTCATTTTGTAAGCACCAGCAATGTAATGTGATGTGACGTATTAATCAATTGAGATATGTTACAAACTTCCTCTTGTTTTTTCTCCATGTTTGCCAGACAACATCCCTTAAAATTGCAGCACACGAATAGTTACAGCAAACGATGTTACGGTTCAACAGCCACTTGATGATAAGGAATCAATCAATCATTAATTGTAGTATTCAGTAGGAAAAAAATAACATAAATCATAACAACGATAGAACATGACATGAATGAATGGAATTGAAAGTTATGTAGGAAGAAACAATGAACGAGAAATTTGAAAATGTGCCTATTGGACACAAAAGTTTGAAATACGAGGATGAAAAATCAGTCTCAACAATTTTTTGCAAGTCCATTAATTAAAAATCCATTAAAATTCTTCTTTCTCGTTAATTTCAAAACAGAGAGAAATTAAGTTTCTGATGATTATGATGTGAAATAAATTTTTGTGCTGAATGTTGCGGTACGAAAAAAATTTTTATGCTGATTAATATTTGAATGTCATCTAATGAATCTCTCTTTTTGTTTCCGGAATGAATGGCAAATGATCAAAATAAAAATAAGAAAAAATTTTCAATGAATTTTCGCCAAAATAAAATGTCTTAATGAAGTCATGTCAAGTTAATGTGGTTTCCGATCATAAATCATTACCAGAAATTGTTTGTGGAGACATTTATTAATTAGCATTGAGAGACTTGAAAATTCGACAAATTGTGCAATTAAATTTCAAAGAATGACAAAATGATTCTTCACAAATTGCAGCATAAATTTGTATTGAAAGGAAAAAAGTGGTTTTTTGGTTTCTGTAGAAATGCAGAAGTGTGAATTATTTAGATCTATGGCTTCATAGAGCTATTATTTTGACATACTATAAGGTAAGAGTAATGGTAGAAGGTTAGGATGACTTAAGCTACGTTTGTAGAAATGCTTCGACTCGAAACAGACCCTAAATCTTTGGTCGATTTTAGAATTCATTGGCAAATTAGATTAAGGATATAAAATGCAGTCGAAACTTCAATCCGTTCGGCATTCACAAAATTGCACCTGTATTCTAAGTTTTCAATCAAACAACAGTCAAGAGACACCAAAAGCTAGGTTATAAGTGGCATTTTCAGTAAAGTTAATCCAAAAATTGACATGTTGTGCTAATGAGTTTCGAACCCTAGATTAAATAGTTGGACTGCTGTTGTACCCAAACATCAAACTAGACCACTGCACTACTAAACCACTTTACTTATATGCAAAACACTAGCTATTAAATCTATAAGAATCAATAAGTAGCGAGCATTTAATAACATTCGAAAAAAATACACCAAAAACGTATTCTTCAGAATAAACAATCATATTGTTCATGATTTGGCTCCCAAAGCGTGAGCTTTTGTCAGATAAAGAATAAAAATTATCATGATTGCTTCCAATTATTTCTGAATGATTTTTTTTTTATATTTCATTTGTTCTTACTATTTTAGCATAAAAACTATTCTGCCCACCCAATGTGGCTTTCAGTTTTTGGTTATCTCTCTCTCATGCTATTAATCGAGGAAGGGAAACAATTTCCGACTATAAAAATACCCAAAAATAAACTTTTTCACTTCAGTTCACAAAATTGTCTAACGTGAAAACTTTTCTGCGTTCTATTCAGGTGTATGCATGCATGCATGTGGCTAGTGCGGTTACGAAAAATTGCTGTAGACTTTTTGTGCAAAGTCATGCAATTTTGTATAGTTTAGTACACCTGAGTATGGATAGGCAGATAGTGTGACTATTGCAATAGAAAAGTGAGAATTCCAATCTTTTGCAATATTTTTTTTTGTTCGGGACATGACAACAGTGAATTACTATAAAATGGAATCGTATGCACGAAACAATAGTTACGTGATACCGGGAGTCTATGATATCGAAATACAAGATGCGGGATGGATTATGATTGCATCTATTATGATTTTCACGTGAGTATAAATTCCTATGTATCTATCTAATAAATGAGAATGGAAACAAACAGACACACAAAAAAATTGATTTATTTCTACAGCATGCAAACTGGCTTTGGTCTTCTGGAGTCTGGAATTGTTTCGCGAAAGAACCAAGTAAATATTATGATGAAAAACATTGTAGATGTTGTACTCGGTGGATTTACATACTATCTATTTGGCTATGGATTATCTTATGGCCGAAGTGACTACACAACTCCATTCATTGCATTCGGTGATTTTATGGTGGATCCAAGCGTGTCAGATAAGCTAATGGGACAAATTTGCACTGCATTTTTCTTTCAATTATCATTTGCGACAACAGCAACGACAATATTGTCAGGAACTGTTGCGGAAAGAATTAATTTTCACGCTTATTGCTTATTTTCGTTAATTAATACTATTGTTTATTGTATACCAGCTGGATGGGTAGGTTGAGCTTATGCATTGATGAAAATTCATTTCAGCATGAATACTTCCAGGTCTGGAGTGAGACTGGCTGGCTGAGGAATCTTGGAGTAGTTGATATTGCTGGAAGTGGACCAGTTCATCTTTTAGGTGGTGCAAGTGCCTTTGCAGGTGCAATAATGCTCGGTCCACGTCACGGCAGATATGACAAGCCAAACAAACCAGCACCACCAATGGGAAATCCAATCAATGCATGTATTGGACTGTTTTTCCTTTGGTTTGGATGGCTTGCATTCAACTCTGGCTCAACATATGGTTTGACAGGATATAAATGGGAATATGCAGCCCGTTCAGCATTTATGACAATGTTGGCATCATTTGCAGGCGGCTGTTATGCTTTAGCACATTCAATGATTAAAAATAAAGGCAAACTGGATCCATCAGACATCATCAACGGAATTCTTGCATCACTTGTTGCTATCACAGGTTGTTGGCTGGAAAATTTAACCAAAATTATGCAATTTGTAGATTTTTTAATTTTACAGCTGGCTGCTTTTTATTTCGCGCATGGGAATCGATACTTGTTGGCACAATTGGTTCCATTTTCACACTTTTCTCGCTTCCGCTGTTCGACAAAATGAAAATTGACGATCCTGTCGGTATGTAAAATAGCTTCATTTATTTTTATTTGTCATTTTTTGTGTCTCTACCTGTTTTTTTTTTGTGAAAACAACTCAGGTGCTATTGCTGTGCATGGAGTGTCCGGAATTTGGGGTACAGTATTAAAATAAATTTGCCGAGTGATTTTTCTTCTTAATTCTAAATTGTTTGTTTTCTTCTTATTTTTTAATATCTTTCGAGTAGGTGTACTTGCCGTTGGAATTTTTGGCGACGATACCAAAATGGATTCCACAAGTGGTCGTTCAGGATTACTGAAAGGTACAGCATTAAAAAAATATGAGATATTTGCATTCATTCTATTTATTTAAATTATATAACATTATCATATAATGGACGCTGTGTAGAATGATAGCAGAAGATAAAAAATACGGAGGGGGATGTTCGTAAATGACGTCAATTAAAATAAATTTTATTGAATCTCTGGATTATCTTAAAGCTTCAGACTAGACCTAGTTGTAAAGGTTTATTGCTTTTTTGCAATACCATTTGAACCATTGATACGTTAGACCCCCTTTATCGTGACTATGCACCTGAACAGCTCCATACCCTCTCTATTCTAAAATGATAAGACAGCATTTGCTAACAACCCCTCAAGAAATTGTTCATTTTTTTATTTACAATATAAATCTCCTTACAATCTCATGTATATTAGGCGGAGGAATGTATTTGTTGTCAGTTCAAGCATTGGCAGTTATTTGTATAATATGTTGGGGAATTTTTTCAACATTCCTCTTACTATGGCTTGTCAACAAAATTACACCACTTCGTATGAATGTTGAGGATGAAATTTTGGGAGCAGATTATACGGAACATAACATTATGCCATCACTTCAGGCGATTGAAAAGGACATGAAATCATCGGCATCAGTAAAATCAGACAACGACAACAACAATTCGGATGGAAGAGATGAAAAAATGAAAGTTGATGGAAGAAATGTTGGGGAGAATGTTATGTCCCAAGGGTTTCGTTTGCATGATAATAACAAGATGGCTGACATTTATAAAACCTATTTCAGCAATGAGAGGATATTGAATCGATCGAAGGCATCAGCCCGAGAAAATTTGGGTTTTCAACATGACAGTGCGTGAGCAATGCTGGATGTATAGATGTCATTTGTAGAAAATGTTAAGGATTATGAATTATTGAATTATTTAAAGCATGTTTGAGTTTATTTGAATTTTAAGTTAAGTTTAAGTTTCATGTTTTTAGAACTATGAATTAATTAGGATACGGCAGGAATCGCAGGAATCGAACCTCCGAATCTTATGATTTTATGGCACAAACTCTTACAAATGAGCTATTGGCAGCTATTAAGAAGCTAACAGAATGTTACTTTAAAGCTTGATTTAAAAAATTTGATGAACTAAAGTCATCTAATATGAATTGCCTATTACATAAAGATTTAAGTGAAAAATTTCCATCGAATCCATTATTCCTTATCAAAATTATCAACAAAACACCAATAATCATCCTAAGCACCGACTCTACTCAAGAACTTTTTCAGGAGAACAAAAAAATATTTTTGCAAATAAATCACAAGACATATCCGTTCATTAGCTTGACCGCATGGTGATTCTGATTACAAATGAAAACTTAAAATAGATTAAGGCATATGTGATTGTATTTAACGTCGAAAAAAAGAGTGTCAAAAATCAATAAGCATAACAAATCATTATCTATAATAATTAAATAAAAATACGTGTTAATGAACATCATGTGAATGAATTTGTATGTATCTTGAAAGAATGAATGAACAACAGAATAATGAATGAAAATAATTTTTTTTGTGTATTTTAAGAATTTGTTAATTTTTGTGAAAATTATTTTTCAATTTACATTCATTTTCAGCTTTTGGACTTTTTCTCAGAGATTAAAGTTTGTGTTGTGATAATTATTGCAGTTAATTGCACTTTTCGAGGTTGGAATGGAGAGATTAATGGTAAGTAATTACTAGAAATAATTTTGACATGCAAAAACTTTAATAACTTCAAGCAACTTTCATTTTTTCCATTGTAAGCAATAAGTGAGCACTGAATCAACTACAAATGGAGGGTATTAAGCCAAATGGAGACAATTCTGCGATTACAATTACTATGGTCAGTGTGACCAAGAACTTTGGAAACTGACCAAACATTCAAAATCTAAGTGATAACGAGAATTCTACTCCTATCAGAGGACTGATTGCCAAAAGAATTATTCTATAGATTTCAAATGACAGAGTCTAAGTGAGACTTGAACCCACGTCCTACGAATTTTAGATGCATTATTACTTACTTACATCTCGCTAGTCGGACAAATCTATTGTGATCCATAAACTTCCTCAGATGCCACCGGAAGCTGGCTACCTCTTGCCAAATTTCAATACCAAATGTAACGCTGTCTCTCTCAATAGTATTTTCCATTAGTTCTTTGGCCTTTCATGCGATCTCTTGTCATCTACAAAGTCCGATTTGAGATTTATTATCTTCCTACTTACCAATCCTTACATTCATTAAACTATTTCCAGTTCTTTTGCAATTCAACAATATCACTGACTTTTAAAGAAAATCTAAATTCTATCAAAATATTAAAAATTCATTGAATCCATCAGCAGAACTAAAAGACAGTATACAATAACAAAAGTAAATCAATCAAAACTATATTAAAAGTGATAATTAGGACGTTAAAAATTTACCACAACACAAAAGAAGACAGAAAAGCTATAAATTGTCACACATCTTGCTCTTAATCTTCAGTGCTGAAACTCATCTCATATTTCGCACTTGACAGTGTAGCTTTGTTTTCTTAGTGCTCAAAAAAAATCTAAAATTCTTCAAAATGGTCAACAACATGACTGTAGAAGAGGTTATTGAAGCCACTTTCCATAGATTTCCTAGAAACGACTCTTACGCTTTACCTGGTAAGTTCAAAATATTCATTTTTAATAAGTCAGATTATACAATTTTAATTTCTACAGGTATTTATGATCTACAAGAGGGAGATGCAACATTCGTCATTTTATCATGCCTTATCATCTTTCAAATGCAAACTGGATTTGCATTAGTGGAAGCTGGAATTGTTAGAACAAAAAATAGTGTCAATATTATGATGAAAAATATTGCTGATGTATGCATTGGTGGACTAGCATTTTGGATATTTGGTTATGGTCTTATGTTTGGTAGAGGAGAATATACGACGCCATTCTTTGGTGCCGGTGACTTTTTTACTGACACAAAGTTTGGTGATCCTTTAACAGCTGGAGTATTCACTATGCTTTTATATCAAATGTCTTATGCCACAACAAGGTTAGTACATATTTAATGATTCCAATCGGATGTAATTTTATTTAATTATCTTCAATATACAGTAATACAATAGTTTCCGGTGGAGTTGCTGAACGTGCTAGATTCTCATCATATTGTCTACTTACCTTTGCAATCACAGTATTATATTCATTAGGAGCCGGATGGATGTGGGGTGAACATGGATGGTTACGAAATCTTGGAGCTGTTGATCTATCTGGTGGTGTAATTCACATGGTTGGTGGTGCATCTGGTGTTATGTGTGCATGGTTCATTGGACCAAGAACTGGACGTTATGACAAAGGCAAAGAACAACCTCCAATGGGAAGCCCACTCAATGCACTTATTGGACTTTTTATTTTGTGGTAAGTTGTTCCTGATGTTAGCAAATCTAGAATAAATCAGTTTAATCTATTTCCTAGGTGGGGCTGGTTAGCATTTAATGCTGGATGTTCATTCGGTATGACAGGAGGAAAATGGGCTTATGCAGCTCGCGCTGGCGTGGGTACTGCATTAGCTACATGGGGTGCGGGAGCATGTGGACTTATTTATTCTATGTTCTTACATAAAGGAAAAGTTAATGTCTATGAAGTCATATCTGGAATTATTGCTGCATTGAGTAAGTGATTCTTCAAAATATTTTAAAATAATAATTAAATAATGTTTATAATTTTTCTAGTCATGAGTAATGCAAGTTGCTACATAATGCCAACACCAATCTGTGTTTTGTTTGGAGCATTCACAGCATTTGTTTCAATATCATTGATTCCAGTTATGGATAAATTGTAAGATTTAATCTACAAACACTATTAAACTCAGTCTTTAATACCCGATTTAATTCTAGTGGCATTGATGATCCAATTGGCTGTTTTTCAACTCATTGGACTGGTGGTGTGATGGCATATCTTTCAGTTGGTCTATTTGCTGAAAATCCAGTTCCACTTTCAACAACAAATGGCAGAGAAGGACTCTTAATGGGCGGTGGAATGTGGTTCTTAACAGTTCAGTTAATAGCAATTGGAGCACTTACTATGCTAGGCTTCTTCGGTGCCTATCCAATCATTAAACTTTGCAACAAGATTCTTCCAATTCGATTGGATGTGGAAAGTGAGGAAATTGGCTGTGATATTGTTGAGCATGGAGTCACAGCACATGAAACATTACCAGTTCCACAACTAATTACAAACAGCATTAAAATAAAGTCTGATGAGATCAATCTTAGCCTTCCAGTCACACCAGTGAATCTCAATCCACCAAGCTTTTTCGACGGATCTTTTAGGAATAGGAATTTAGCACAATATAGTCTCTCGTATGAAGGAGCTGAAAATAATTTAAATTCACCAAGATCAATTCCACGTCTTTAACATTTAATGCTTTCTAATCTAATTCTGTCATATTTTTAAATTTAATCTAAAACTTTGGAGCTTTGATCTTTGGCAACATGTTGTTTCTATGGAAAAATTATGGAAAATTAATAAAATGAGCACCGCTACAAAAGAGGGAAGAAGAAAGAAGTTTAAAATTTATCCAAATTTATTTCATCAATTATTATCCAAAAATATCCAATTAATTTTATATTTTAATCATAATCAATAGACATAAAGACCTAATTTCCATGGAAAGCAGTCAGTAATGAAAATTAATTTTACTTTGGTGATTTATGAATGAAATTCATTCAATGACTGCTTTCTTTAAAATTTATGAATGGAACTTATTGAAAAAAATAATTAGCACTATTAGTTACGGCAGTTATATAATATTTAGACTGTAAATAAAATTTCGAGATCTCAAGAATGGTGAAAAATTGTGTTTTTTTCTCAATTTTCGCTTGTTTGTTGATAAATATGATTTTATTAAGGAGTCGTTCGGTTTTGACGTCTGGTGGATTTCGAGTCAGAAACTTTTTGATGTCCTTCATTTACAATAGATCCATTACAAAACCTCAAATCTCTCCCCTCTGACCCAATAAATTCAAATAACAAAGTTTAATAAAATTCAGACCAAAATGAAGCCCAACAAAATTAATTGAAAATCATGCAATATCGAAAGTTCAAAAATAAAAGTCAATTCAATAAATAATAGCACAATAAATAATTTTAGAATGAAATTTAATTATTAGGTTGAGATGTGAATGGAGGAATGTTTGCGAGCATGGCGAAGTTTTCATTATAAACAAATTATCGAAAATTAATTTATTGACGTCATCATGGAACTACTAAATGTTGATGTCATTTACTACTACTGAGAAAACAAAAGAAATCGGGCAAATATTTGTGAGATACAGAGTTGTTGATTCAGGTCTTCTGAAAAATTCCTTTATTTGGCTGAGTCTAGAATTTTTGTGAAAGAGTGTGCTTAAATTCACAAATGTTCCTCCTTTAGTGTTCTTCAAATATCTGTCCAACCAACTCTGACTTCGATCATGCGATTAATTAACCCTCAATTAACATCAAAAATTTTTTCACTCACAAAATTGACTTATAAAATAAAATATTTTTCGACGTCGTCAAGCACACGGCAGTGTCGCTAAGCAAAAAAAAATATAAAATCACGATTAATCGTTGACTAAATTTCACGCTTACTCATTCAAAATTTTTGCACAGATGGAATTTATTTTTTCATCCTTTGATTGATTTCAAAATGCAATATTAAAAATTTTTTCCTCAAATAAAAGCGACAAAAATAAAGTTTTTTATGACGAAAATGTTTTGAAGCGAAAAGAAAATTTGATTTGAATTTTATGTTTCTATCGAAAGAAAAGGAGGAAATACGCGCGCGATAGATTTTTATCTCATTTCATTCCATTCAAAAATTTATTTTTTTTACGTCAAACACCTTCGATGCAGTCAAGCGTTGAAAAGAAAATTTCTTCTTTAACGTTTATCCCTGCTTGAAAAGATAACGGATGAGATTGAGATAAATGCAAAATGTTGATTCGATTTATTCTTTTAAATTTTATATACATGAATAGTGAGGAAAAGCGACAAAGATTGGAATTGATGGATAAAGCGGGCAGACAATAGGAGGAAAGGAAGGAATTTTTAGTTCAATTTTGAGTAAATCTGAGTATAAAATGCAAAAGAAATTTATATTTTGTGCATAAAAGTAATTTTTGAATAGCTTCCTTGTTTTAAGCTTGTAGAAATTGATGATGTCGACAACATTGTGCGAATCTTTCATATTGATAACCCTCCCGAGTGGACAAAGTACTAGTTAAAAGCTTGCCATTGACTTGCCTTTTCACGGCGAGTAAGTATCCATTGACGTGCCTTTGCAACTAGACTTAGGGACGACTAATGACATATTTTGCGCTTTCCATTTAACTGGACATAGGAATTGCAAATATGTCTAGTTAATGTCCAGTTACAAAAAAATCGAAATAAAATAAATAACGCGTGTCTTTTTCTCCATATTTTTTTCTTTTGTAAAATTTTATTATTGTATTAGTGTAATTAATTAATTAAAGTACACTAAGACTTATGAAAAATCTCTAGTAAAAATTGAGTCTCGAACACTTGAGCGTGAAACATTTATATTTGCTTAAAAGTTTCATACAAATTTTGGTGGACCTTATATAAGTGATTTCTGTAAGCGCTTGTGAAGTATATGGTCAAAAAAGTAAGAAAAATTATTTTTGAGTTTCGAACATTTGATTGATTAGCATAAATATCCAGTTAAAGTCTAGTTAACGTATAGTTCTCTATGTCGTATATATTTTGACAAGTTAAAAGACTGTTAAATGATTGTCCAATAATGGACTTTAACTGGCTGTGTCCACCCGGGCCTCTAAGGATTGAAACACTAGCTTCTGATGAGAATCGAACTAAAAATTTGTGAAACTGATCAAAATTATCAAAATCTGATTCATTATTTCCACAGCCATAAATCAAAACAACATCTAGATAGGTCTGACAAAAATAGATGTGAATATATTCAAAAATGTTGTCTAACTACTCGACCATAGAAACCTTGTTCTCACATTAGCAGATTCAATGCAACAAATCAAAAATAAACTCCAGACAAAATTCTACAAAATTTTAAAATGCCAAAGAATCAAAGCTTTAACAATATTGTCAATGCCAGTTGCCTCAAAGCAAACTTTCCGCTCATTTTTTTCATTAAAGCATCAGTTCAGAAATATAATTCAATATCCACCTCCACTCTCATTGTACTTCATTGTGCAAACTTGATGAATATAAATTTATTGACCTTGACGTGGGTTCATGACAAAACATAATAATGACAATTTGATCTCAATGATATAAGTCTTCAGTTTTCTCTATTTGAGATGAAGAAATTCTTCATCAGAAATCCTTGACATTTCTCAAGATCTAGAAGTTCGTCGAATAAGACTTTGAAATTTAATCTGCACATTGAAGTTCAAAGTTATTAAAAACTCGATTGATGAACTAGAGAATGTCAAGAATATAAGCTTGTTGGAGTCGTTTATTGGTGATGCAATGTTGAGACGCTAGAGAACCTAGAAAATATTTTAAAACAGCACCAACTCCCTCCCCATTGACAATCACACTCCATTAGTGAAACTTAAGTTTCGTATTACAACAAATTTTGTGCATTTTTGATCTTATTGAGTTTCACTCGACGCAGTAATTGCTCAATTTGAAAATGATATTATTGAAATGCTGCGCTTGTTTATGCTGAAAAAAGGAAAATTAAAAGAAAACTTCCTTCAAATAAAATTCAATTTCGTTTATAAAAGGAAAATTGAAGAAGAGCTTGAAGGCAGAAAAAAAGAAAAGAAAAGCTAGAAAAGCAAGCACAAAAAGATAGAATTTACGAGGATAACAAGAAGAAAAGATGAGAAATTTGATTGACACGATAAAAATCCATTCAAAAATTTTTTTTCTTTCTTTCTTTTGCTTGTTCTATTCAGATATACACATATAAAGAGATTATTTCTTTTTTTATAGCAAGCTATATTGTAATGTGTCAGAGATTCTTATTTTGTAGATGGAAAATAAAGAATAAGAGGAATTTTCTTTAAATAACGAGACTTGAGAGTCCCGAGTGACATGTTTGCAGTTTTTAATGCATGATTGTTTGATTTTGGAGAATTCTAAGTTTTTGTGAAGCCAAAACCAGGATTAATAATTTGAACCTAACCTGAATTTGGAGCAGAAAATTATTTTCTTTGGATGTTAAAGATGATTTTTGTGAATTGAAAATTTATTCAGATTGAAATTTATTTATTTGAAGCTTAACAGCACAGAAGTCCTGTTCTCCTTGACATTAGCAAACACAGCAAATTTGGGTTTAGAGCTCACCAAAGCAATTTATTGTGTTTTTAATCAAAGCAGGAATGAAATGATTGTTTCTAGCTATGATGCTCTATCTCTGTGGTTTCGGAACTATAAACTCATACTTATGCAATTAAAATTAAGCATGCCATACATGAGTCAATGTTGCAAGCAACATATCCAGCTCGGCACCATCAAAAAAAAAACGTATGATAAAAGGCTTGTCTGTTGGATAATGCTTTACACTCGCTTCCATCATACAAAATGTCCTCAACTTTCATGTTTTTTTCTTCTTCACCCATTCTTTTTTTTCTGATGACAGCTCTTTTTTCTATTTTTCACATTATCCTTTTAACAAAATTAGATTTAAACGCTTTTTATATCCATCGCTGTTGGCTGCTGCTTCTCATGCAATGTCAATCTTAAAAAGAGATTTAAACTCAGTTTATAAGTATGTATTCTAAATGATCCGTGAACAAATTCTGAGAAAGATGAACGAAAAAAATAAAATGAATCTAGTCTTACTTGAGGATGATAAATATTTTTAAAAAAAAATTTTATATCCATCGATTACAATGCAGAAAGAGAAATTTTTTTATTTTTTCATCAATATGAAATAACTAATCAATCAATTTGTAAGTAAAAGATAGAGAGAGAGTCGAGCTAAGTGGAGCATTATCTAATGTACATAAGAGCTCTCCTTTCTTCCCTTACGATTGTATTTTACTCATCTTAAATGGGAAATGGAGCTGAAAATACCGTCATGAAGGATGTAGAATGAATATTGCATAAAAATAGAGAACGAAGAATGAAGAGGGGATTTGCTATCGATATTAGATTGATTAAGAAAAACACGATGTTGGATTTGTAAAATTGTGATGCTCTTCTTCCTTACTGCAACATACTTTCATGGATGGATAATCGGTTTTTCGTGGAAAATTTTCGATCAAAGCTTTGAATGATGTAGAATGTTCTTGTATGGAGAATGAAGCAGAATAATGATGGTAATTTATGGAAAATATTACAAAGGCTTTCATGTTATATATGGAGTAGGATTGTATATGAGGCTCTAACATTTTTTAAGATGAGTAAAGTTCAAGTTGTTTTAAACCTAGTTGCATATAGTATCGGGCAAAATTGGGCCAATATTAGGCCCCTAAGATCAGATAGATTTTTCCTTATATCAGGCGCGCAGCCAGGAGGGTATTGTCAAAACGTTTAAGGGGGGGGGGGGGGGGGGGCAAGACCTTCCTGGCTACGCGCCTGCATTATATCAATAATTTTATCAGTTCAATAACACAATCATTAGACTCATTCCACACCAAAAAAGTTTAAACTATATTTAAACCGAAAACAGTCGCAATAG